CGCAGCCGCCGCCCCCCAAGGCGGCGCTCTGGCCGCTGGCTGGCGACACCCCCCCAGAGTCGCCGCGGAGCAACGGCGGCAACAGCGGCGGCGGCAGCGGCGGCGGCAGCGGCGCCGCGGCGCGTGGCGGCCGGCCTGAGGGCGGCAGGCTCGACACCGGCGGCGCCGCCGCGTCCCCGCCGCTCGCGCCGGTGGGGGGCGCGTCGATGCGCCGCGCGCACAGCAGCCAGGCCATGTTCAGCCTCGCGCGCGCCCCCGCGGCCGCCTCGCCGCCCGGCCTCCGGGGCGCTGGTGGCTGTCATGGGTCCCCTAGCAGCGCGTCCAGCCTGGCCGCCGCCGAGCAGCAGCCGCCCTCGCCGGACGGCGCGCCGGTTGCGCACCCCGGGGCGTTCCAGCCGCCTGCGCACGCGCTCAGCGCCCCGGCGGGCGGCCGCGCTGCGGGCGGCGCGGGGGCGGGGGCGGGGTCTGCGGCGGCGTCTCCTGCCGCCGACCCCTACAACCTGCGGGTGGTGGCCCATAGCCTGGGTGGCGCCAGCATGCTGATCTACCTGGTGATGCGGCTGCGCAGCGGGCGGCCCCACCACGTGAAGAGGCTGGTGCTGCTCACGCCCGCGGGGTTCCACGAAATCGTGAGCCACGGCCTGGAGCGCCGTCGCCGGGGGCGGGGAATGGGGGGGAGAGTGGGGTCGGCGGGTCAACAGGGGAAATGCTGCCCTGCGCGCCCACCGGCGCGCAGGTCCCTTCGGGGATGGGGGTCAAATCGGCAACCCTTGGAGGGGCCTGTGCGCAAGGGTCGGACCCGCCTTGCGTCTGGGCCCATGGGGCCACCAGCACGTGCTGCGCAGCAGCGGCTCGCTCCTCTGCCACCACATGCTCCCTCACGCTGTTGTCAGGCACAACACTTCTTCGCTCCAGACACGCCACTCTGAACCCCCCCCCTTTGCCCCCCCCTCCCAAGGTGCCGTGGGTGTTCCAGCCGGTCATCCGCGCCATACCAGTAGCCATGGCCCTCATGCGGCTGCTGTTCGGGGGCGCCGCAGGTGAGGGCACGCGTTAGGCGTCCGCGCACCCCTTGAGCATGATTGTTCGGCAAATTAATGGACGCAAGATCAGGCCCACGTCGCGCAGCCTGCATG